GCGGTGCGCTAACCGCTGCGCCACCGCTCCTCAGCTCGCTCGCTCGTTCGCTCGAGCACGCACGCACGGATCCTTCCCGTACGTACGCGCTGTCGCCCGCTGGGGCGCGACTATGGCGACGCGGGGTGAATGTTAATAGCCACCGCCACCTTTCATTCTCGCTGCGCCGAATCATCATCATCATCATCATTTGTCATCGGTCCCTCTCGCCCCAGGGGAGGAGGAGGCGGCGGCGAGGGGGGGGGGGCGCTGTGGGGAGCAGCGACTATGGCACCAACCCCCTGACACCCGCCACATCCTACCCACCCCTTGCCCCCCCCACCCCCGAATTAAAATAAAGACATCGTGTCCGTCGCCGAGCCGGCTGGCGGGGCGCCGCAGGCCCGGCCTGACGGGGCGAGTCGATCGGCCAATGAATCAATGAGCCAATTAAAGGTTTCTCGTCCGAACCGCCGGAGCCGGCGCTGCTGCTGCTGCTGCGGGTCGTTGTGGAGTGGCGGGAACCAAAAAAAACCCTCGCCTCCGTCGACGGCAATGCGGCGAGCGGCGTGAGAAGCGGCTTCTCCTTCTCATTCTTCTCCTTCCCTTTCTCATCCTTCTCCTCCTCCTCCTCCTTCTTCATCTTCTCCTCCTCCTTCTTCTCATTCTTCTTCTTCTTCTTCTCATTCTTCTTCTTCTCATTCTTCTTCTTCTTCTTCTTCCCCATCTCATCCTCCTCCTTCTTCATCTTCTCCTCCTTCTTCTTCTTCCTCTTCTTCTTCTTCCTCTTCCTCTTCTTCTTCTTCTTCTTCATTCTTCTTCCTCTTCTTCCTCTTCTTCCTCTTCTTCTTCTTCCTCTTCTTCTTCTTCTTCTTCATCTTCCTCTTCTTCTTCTTCTTCCTCTTCCTCTTCTTCTTCTTCTGCTTCTTCTTCTTCCTCTTCTTCTTCCTCTTCTTCTTCCTCTTCTTCTTCCTCTTCTTCTTCTTCTTCACCGTGATGGGGGGGAGGGGTCAGTGCGGGATGGTAAATCTGGGGGTCGGGGCAGGGGGGGGGGGGCAGTTGTGAGGAGGTGGCTCAGCACTGCTTCGGATTTCACTCGCCACTGATGTTACCCGGGAGTTAAACCCAGGGGCCAACAACAACATCAACAATGGCCCCCACCCACAAGTGTGCGCATGCGTTTACCTCCTGCCACCCCCTAATAGAAAAATACAAAGATCCCCCTTCCCCCATAATTTAAGGCTGAGCAGACCTAGGTGACGCCCAGGACTGGTTCAAATATTCGCCGCCGTTATTGACCCCAAGGGAATTGAACTCGAGTGGCCGGGGTTCGTAGTGACCAGCCCCCTGTAGCCACTGCACCACCGCTCCACCCAGCGACTGTCAATAGATCAGCCGATGGAATCGGAAATTTATAAAGTTTTATTGATTGCTGGAGGAATCCGATGAGCTCTAAAGCTCTTTTTTTTTTCAGTGATGTCCGGTCGGGGCACGGGATCAGAACGTTACAACAACAAACAATGACAAAACACGCTAGGATTGCAAAGTACAGGAACGCTAAACAACATGTATAAATACAACTGAGCTATGTTTTTTTATACTCTCTGGTTCTATTGGGTAAAGTCACGTAGGTAAAAATAAAAAAATAAAACAACAAAAAACACGACGTTTCGGCCACAACACAAGCGGCCTTCATCAGGTGAAGGGACCAGCTTGGCTCTGTTTCACTCCAGCGCAGTCTTCGAGACAGTCTGGTCCCTTCACCTGATGAAGGCCGCTTGTGTTGTGGCCGAAACGTCGTGATTTTTGCTGATTTATTTTTTTTATTTTTACCTACGTGACTTTACCGAATAGAACCAAAGAGTATGGATCCTTGCAGTCACGAAAGCTTCAAATCTATGGTTTTTTTTGGTAATATATTACGAGCCCTTTAGCGTATTTTTTCAGAAGCTACCCGGCCATGACGAATGACAGCCCAACGACGTGGCTCACCATCACGTGGGCATTCGTAGCGGGCCAAACAACCAATCCGAACGATCGAAGCACACCTTTTGATGAATGCAGTAACGCGGCAGGGAGACAAACACACAAAGCGCCCGGAGCAAACTGAAACTTTCGAGACGAGCGCAACGCTCAAAATGGCCCGCGACAGGTGGATTCACCAAGTCAAAATGCGTTCGCCGCCATTCCCTGGCCACCGCCTGACAGCTAACCACTCCGGTTCGAGGGCGTCGCAATATCCCTGCGTGGTCACCATCCGGCGAACTCCGGTCGCTTCCTCGCAGCAGCAACGGAAGCGGCTTTTAGCCACGGCCGCCGTACGAAGGGTCGGTGTCACCGCCATCGCGGCACTTTCGGGCGTGCTCCTGCGGCCGTCTGGAACGCTCTTCCTTCCGATGTTAGGAAGCCACTGGGAGCTCTGCCACTTTGAAATCGCCATCGTCTACATTGACAAACTCATTTCTTTGGAGACGCTTTTTGTGTGTTTCGTTCGTTGTCTCTCCCCGCGCACCTTCAATAAGCGCGGTTGGCTACGTACAGCGCGAAAGAAGTTCAACATTCGTAGTTTCCGTAACACAGGCTTTTTGGGTTAGATCGTGTAAGTATATACACGTAAGTATATACACGCGATCTAACCCAAAAAACCTGTATTATGGATGATATTCATCGCGAAAGCCTACGTGTTAAACATTCATCGTTTAAATTTTGATTTAAAGCTTTCGTGATTGCAGTAATTCATATTGTTTCCCTTCAACGTGACTTTACCGAAAGAGCTAAGAATATGAAAATACATTCATCGTTTGTTATACTCCCCCCCCCCCACAACCTCCGATTAACACGGTTGGCTACGTATGGTGCTAAAGAAGTTCACCGTACATGTGTGCCGCCGCGCTGTAATTGGACATCCGTCAGGGGCTGCTTTCGCTCGGGAAACTCGTTACAAACTCTTGTCGCCATTTGCCCACCGATGTATCATCCCCCGTCGCACTATCGGCGTCGAGCCCCCGAGACGTAGGAGCCCCGTTCGGAAGTGGATATCACAGAGCTGCAGCGCATTCCCCACAGAGCCGCCACTTGTGATTCCTTCAAGTGACCTCTGATCCACTAATTAGGGGGCAGCGCATTCCCCATCGGATATCACAGAGCTGGCTCTGAGATGCTTTTCCAGTGACCTCTTATCCGCAAAGTAGAGGGCAGCACTTTGTCCTCCGGTTATCACAGAGATAACTTCTGCAATGCCTTCCAGTGACCTCTGATCCACAAATTAGGTGGCAGAGCTTTCCCCACCGGATATCACAGGAGCCGCCCTCTCGGTGACCTCCGATCTTAAACTTACAAAAACAAAGATTGAATTGGCAGTGCGGTGGTGACACTTTGTGCCTCACACCAAGAAGTACCTGGGTTCGATTCCTGGCTTGGGGGGGGGGGGGGGGCGGTAGCTCTCTGTGTCGAGGTCGCATGTTCTCCACCCTGTTCCTCGTCGCATTTCCTCCAGCAAAATAATCTGAACGCACGTTGAGTCTAAATGTGGAGGGAAAAAACCGAGGAGCCCGGAAAAAAAGATTCACACGACCACAGGGAGAAGAGAAATGCAAACTCCAAATATACAGCAGCAGGTGTCATGGTCGGGATCAAACCCATGACCTCCTGTATACCAGGCAAGGTAGTTAACATCTCCTAGCCACCGTGATGTTGATGAGAGAGAGAGACACGCAAACTCCAAATATACAGCAGCAGGCGTCATGGTCGGGATCAAACCCATGACCTCCTTCATACCAGGCAAGGGAGTTAACACCTCGCCTCCGCGGCACCCATTGACCCACAAATTAGAGGGCAGCACTTTGTCCCCCAGTTATCACAGAGATAACTTCTGGAATATACGTACGTACGAACGTTGAACGTCTTTCGCAACGTACATAGCCAACCGTGCTCATCGGAGGTGCGGGCGGAAGGACGACAAACTAAACGCGATGCAGCAGCCCCGAGTCTCCCGCGCATCTCCCCCTTATATGCCAACCCGAGGCCACGCCCCAATTCTCGATCATTCCACCGTTCTCTTCCGTCGCCTGACCACGCTCAGGCGACGGATGTAGACTATACTGTCATTACAGATTTAAAGTGCATAGCTCCCAATGGTGTCCTCATATAGAGCCCTTACAGATGAAGTCTAATAAGGGAGCAACACGGTGGCTAGGAGATGTTAACTACGTCGCCTGGTGTACAGGAGGTCGTGGGTTCGATCCCGACCCTGACAATGCCTGCTGCTGCTGTATATTTTGAGTTTGCGTGTCTCTCTCTCTCATCATCATCACAGTGGCTAGGAGATGTTAACTACCTCGCCTGCTGCTGTATATTTGGAGTTTGCGTGTCTCTCTCTCTCATCATCATCACGGTGGCTAGGAGATGTTAACTACCTCGCCTGCTGCTGTATATTTGGAGTTTGTGTCTCTCTCTCTCGTCATCATCACGCTGGCTAGGAGATGTTAACTACCTCGCCTGCTGCTGTATATTTGGAGTTTGCGTGTCTCTCTCTCTGATCATCATCACGGTGGCTAGGAGATGTTAACTACCTCGTCTGCTGCTGTATATTTGGAGTTTGCGTGTCTCTCTCTCTGATCATCATCACGGTGGCTAGGAGATGTTAACTTCCTCGCCTGCTGCTGTATATTTGGAGTTTGCGTGTCTGTCTCTCTCCACGTGGTCGTGTGGATTCTTCTCCGGGGTCCTCCGGTTTTTTTCCCCCTCCACATTTAGGATCAACGTCACGTGGTTTAGAGTATTTTTGCTGCTGCTATACATTTCCACGTGACGGTGATAAGCCACTTCGGTTGGGCTACCATTTGCGATGGGGCAGGTCACTTCTGAAAAAATAAAGAGCTAAATATTAGCTCAGTGGGGCCACAGCTGGTAAAATAGAATTAAAAAAAATCAACAGTTTAGTCTGGTTTAATTTTCGTCACGTCCATTGAGCCCCAGTCACACTGCAATGCCTTCCCCTGTCGTGTTGCAATGATCCTCAGTGCTCAGGGCCAGGATCGTGGGTCGCAAGATCGTGGTGGGACACTTCAACCTGACGTCCCACGGACACCCCTTCCAGATGGTCCTGCACCGAGTCAAGCAGATCAAGGTGTGAGCTTTGTACAGAGTGCACCCAGCGAACGGCTTTGACAAGGTGCACCCAAAAAGAGTCCTCGGATGGTCACGCCCACTCGCTCCTGCTCCACAGGCTCTGGTCTGAGTGAGTGAGTTTGTGATTGAGTAGGTGTGTGAGTGAGCGAATGAGTGAGTGATTGGGTGGGTGAGTGAGTGAGTAAATGAGTTGGTGATTGGGTAAGTGTGTGAGTGAGTGAGTGAATGAGTTGGTGATTGAGTAGGTGTGTGAGTGAGTGAATGAGTGAGTTATTGGGTGGGTGAGTGAGTGAATGATTTGTTGATTGAGTAGGTGTGTGAGTGAATGAGTGAGTTATTGGGTGGGTGAGTGAGTGAATGAGTGAGTGATTGTGTGTGTGTGAGTGAGTGAATGAGTTGATGATTGGGTAGGTGTGTGAGTGAGTGAATGATTGAGAAGGTATGAGTCAGTGAGTGAGTGAATGAGTAAGTGATTGAGTGTGTGAGTGAGTGAATGAGTGAATGAGTTGATGATTGGGTAGGTGTGTGAGTGAGTGAATGAGTGAGTGATTGAGAAGGTATGTGAGTCAGTGAGTGAGTGAATGAGTAAGTGATTGAGTGTGTGAGTGAGTGAATGAGTTGATGATTGGGTAGGTGTGTGAGTGAGTGAATGAGTGAGTGATTGGGTGGGTGAGTGAGCAAATGAGTTGGTGATTGGGTAGGTGTGTGAGTCAGTGAATGAGTTGGTGATTGAGTAGGTGTGTGAGTGAATGAGTGAGTGATTGGGTAGGTGTGTGAGTGAGTGAATGAGTGATTGGTGGGTGGGTGGGTGAGTGAATAGGTGAGTAGGTGGGTGGGTGGATGAGCGAGTTGGTAAGTGAGTGCGTGCGTGAATGGGCGGGCGAGTGACCGAACGAGCTTGTATGAGTGGATGGGTGAGTGCGTGAAGGAATAAGTGGGTGAGTGAGTGGGTCAGTGAGTGAGTGGGTGAGTGAGCGGATCCCGTGGGTGAGCGGGCGTATGGACGAGCGAGCGAGCGAGTTGACTCCTTCCTCTCTCACCCCTCAAAGCTGGGTTCCCCTCCTGTTTCATCCCGTGTCCGCTCGAATTTCAAACCCCTTTTAACCCTCCACTCCAAGTTAATTTACTTACCTTAAAAAAAAAACAACGGGTAAGAGGGGAGTCGCCGTCGCACGCGGCACCGCTGTTGATGGGCGCGCCGCCGCGTCGTCCGGTGTGGTGCGGACCCTTAAAAAGATCTACAAGGGGATGGAGCTCCTGGGCGAGGTGACGCAGCTCTACACCCCGACGATGGACGGCCTCTGCGCACCCTCGCTGGACCTCAGCAAGACGCAGTACGTCATCACAGGTAACCCACCCTGCGCGCAACTCGTGCCCTGCGTGAGCCAGAAGCTCGCTCCTCCGGTCACGTCGGGGCGAGCGAGCAGGCGGCCGCGGCGGCGACGGACGACCGATTTCGGCACGGTGCTGGCGCGTTTCGGCGTTGCCGCTCCGCTCCGTTTCCTTGATAAGTGCATGGGAGACGCTTGGATCTTCTCTACCGGCCGGGCCAAGTGAAGTTGAGAAGTCACGAACGGCGAGCCTCACCGCGTAGCTGACAGAAACTCCACGCCGGAGTTGCGTAGAGATGTACGTACGTCCGTGCGTACGTCCGTACGCACGGACGTACGGTCGTACGGACGGACGGACGTACGTTGTAATTCTTTCGCAGCAAATACGTGTGCTGGCCACCCGCGCTTATCGCAGTGTGCGGGGGGGAAATACAATGGACTAAACACACAAAGCAGTCCGATATAAATTACGTCGTCAATCTAAATGATTCGAAAGTGCCAGAGCTCCCAGTGGCTTCCTAATGTCGGAAGGGAAGAGCGTTCCAGACGGCCGCAGGAGTGGCGCATCTGAAAGCGCCGCGCGATGCGTGGACCACCGCCGCCTTTGTTAGACGGCTGAGCCGAAACCCGCTGGATTGGGACGGTTATTTGACCATACTTCCCCCCACTCCGGACAGTGGTGTGAAGGGTGCGAGGCGTAGACGCGGGCACGCAGAAGAACGGCGCAACAGCGGATTGTGCTCCGCTGCAACCTGCTGGCCGACCGTGCAGCCTGTGAGACCGGTTACGCACGGTGGACTCCTGTTCCAACCCGTAGCCTCGCTGGCGAACGAGGATATGGGTGGGGTGGGGTGGGGCGGTGACCCAGCCGGGCTGGGGCACCATCCGTGCCGCTCGTTGTTACAGAGAGACGCAGAGGCGTCTCGGTCCGTGCCCAGTGGGGCACCCCCTGGTCAATACGGCGGCGAGTATCGTTCATGGGGGGGGGGGGGGGGGGAGGGTACGCTTCGCAGGTGGACGTCAAAGGTCTCGCGGAGATATTTGCGTTTTCGTGATTGTTTTCATTTCTAAAGAGTCACGGCCCGGACTGTTTTTTTTTTACAAATTTCAAAAGCCACCGCCCAGTCACCCTCGTTGGGTCAAGGCACTTAGGCGACATCGCCCGCCCCATAGGAATGTGCGTACGTACGTACGTACGTTGAACTTCTTTCGCACCGCACGCAGCCAACCGCGCCCATCGGAGGTGCCATTGCCGCCCGTTGCGGAACGCGCCCGCGACCCGTTTCGGCTTTCACCCACTCGCCTGATTATTTTCCAGGCCTGGCAATTTTATTATTTTTTTTTATTCCTTCTCCCGCCCCACCGTCCCCACCGCCCCCCCGACCCGCCGAAGGGAAAATCCGCGACGGCCGGGTGTCCGTGTCGGGGTGCGACTACGTGCAGCCCTGGGAGGGCCTCACGCTGTCGCAGAAGAAGAGCCTCAGCTACCGCTACCGCATGGGCTGCGACTGCAAGGCGAGCTCTTCGGCGGCGGATTCATTGCACAGCGCCGTTTCGCCCGGTCCCTTCGTCGGTTGTTTGGTCATTCCAGCCAAGAATCTTTTTTTCAGGGGGGGGGGGGGGGGGGGTGGGGGGCGAATGTGGGGCGTGTGAGCGATGTCGCCGCTGCTCCAGTGGATAATCACAGCAGCAGCACGGAGGCGAGATGTTACCTACCTCGCCTGGTATACGGGAGATCAAGGGTCTCACTCTTCCACTCGCTCTCTCCCATGAGGGAGATGTTAACTACCTCGCCTGGTGGACAAGGAGGTCGTGGGTTCGACCCCGACGCTGACGACGCCCGCTGTAAATTTGGAGTTTGCGTGTCTCTGTCTCCCCCGTGGTGGTCGCGTGGATTCTTCTACGGGGTCATCCGCTGTTGCACTCCACATTTAGAATCGAAACATCACGACGTGTTTGCCTGCTGCGGTAAATGTTCACGTGATGATGATGATGAGCCAAATATTTTTGTTATGTGCATTTACTGTCCTATTTTTTATTATTTTTTTATTTTGGAAGTTTATTTTATTTCATTATTTTTATTTAGTTTTTTATTTTTCCTTTCCTATTCACGTGACTTTACCGAAAGAACCAAGAATTTAAAATCATGAGCCACTTCATCGCGCTATCATTCGTGACAGCCACGTCGCGTTTGAAAAAAGAGCTACGTATCAGCTCAGTGCGGCCTTTCCTTGTAAAAAAAATCCCCCAAAAAATATGTTTAGTTGAATCCCAGTTGAGTGATTTGTAGGCGAGTTTTTTAGCACTGGGATGTTTTGACCCAATACCGGTTACATTGTATGGGGGGGGGGGGGGGGGGGAGGTGTGCGGTGGGCAGGGAATGATTTAAAGCTACGGGAGGAATTCGGGAGAAGCCGGAGGAAATCCAAAGTCGACCAGGTGGAGATCATGCGAGCTGCCACGAGTTCGGGAACCGAACCGGGGCCCTTCATGGTGTGACGCGCAAAGTGTCACCACTGCGCTGCCGCCCTGGGTCACGTGACGAGCGTGCGGCGGTGAAACGCGACGCTCGCTGGGTACCCCCCCCGCCCCCCCCCGCCCCCCCCCCCCGCCCCCCCCCCCCGAAGGGGGGGCACGTTCACGCGCGTGATCGTCGTGCACAACAAGACACGCGCGCCGTTGCCGGCCAAATCGATTTCGAATCGTCCCAAACAAATAAGAAGTTAAAACCCGTCAACGAAGTTTCTTAAATTGACCACTTTGCGCAATTTTTCGGGTTTCATTTGTAAATTGCCGTTGTAATATTGTTTTTGTTGTTGCTCAAATGCATTTAACAATATTTATTTTAGTAAGAACATTTTTTGTTTACTGTACCACCACGCCACCTTCTATTCTAGGATTTTCTTCTAAGTCCAGCGCCACCCCCCATTAATTTTTACCGCCCCCCCCGCCACCCCTCCTCCTTCAATCTCCCCCCCCCCCGCGGCAGATCCGCGAGTGCCGGTCGCTGCCGTGCGGAGAGGGCACCCCTGACGAGTGCGTGTGGACGGACCGAGTGGCGCGCGGGACCCACGCGGGCCACCAGGCCAAGCACTACGCCTGCGTCCGCCGCGGTGACGGCCCCTGCGGCTGGTACAAGGGGGGGCTCGCCCCGCCCAACGCCGAGCTCTGCGAGGGGGCCTCGCCCTAGCGCGGAGCTCCGCGAGCGGGCCTCGGCACCCGGCGCGGAGCTCCGCGAGGGGGGAGGGGGGGGGTGGCTTGACCTAGCGCGGAGATCCGCGAACGGGCCTCACTCTAGCTTGCAGATTGGTGAGGAGTGGTGGGGCCTCGCCCCCCCCCCCCCCGGCGCGGAGCTCCGCGAGGGGGGCCACGCCTCCTGCGCGGAGCTCCGCTGAGAGGAGACGTGTGAGAGAGTTTTATGTACGATGCAATTGGGATTCATATAGCGTGTAATTACAGCCGCATATTAAGGTGCCACGTAGAAGCAGCGAGACATGCACATGGTGTAGACGTTAACATACGCAGTATAGATAGAGAGTCATTGCCAGGGTAGAAGGGGGAGGTCTTGAGCCTCGACTTACAAAGTGGGAACGGAGTCGGCGGGACACGGGGGGGTGGGCTGGGGGAAGGGAATTCCGTATTGCGGGGAGCAAGAGAGGAGAAGCCGATCTTCTCTGACACCAGCCATCAGCCTGGGACACGTGATGCATCCTGACATTTTTCCTTATGCAGGTGCGCAAATCTCCCTACGGGAGTGCGCACGTGACATCCCCTTGGAATCACGCGCGGTAAGGCGGTGAAGCATGTGACCTTTCGTGGGAACAGCTGTTGGGTCAGCGACTCAGGAGCTAAGTTAGACCACGTGACCCTGCAGGGGTGGCCGAGTGGCTCGACGAGACAGATCCTGGGTTGCACGACAGTCAAACCGATATTATTACTCTTCGGTTCTTTCGGTAAAGTAGACAGAAAATGTTCTACCCACGTGACTTTACAGAAAGAACCAAAATGTATGGATTCCTGCAGTCACGAAAGCTTCAAATGAGGATCGATATTGTTACGTTCAATACCCAGTGGTAGTAGTAGGGCTTACGCGACCAATATTATCCGTAAGAAAGTTTTGTTTTGGGTTAGATCGCGTAAATATGAATGTGTGTCGTTAACCCACCACCAACCGACACAGCCACTGAAACACTCCTCTGATCTTCGCCCCTGGTAGGTTCACGGTGATGACATCACCCTGAATCTGAAGCAGGAAGACGTCTTAACAATTCTCGGCAAATTGCCTGATGGAGCTGGTTGTAATCAGCAAGCGACGCGTCAAACTCATATTGTTAATGTTGTGGGTTTACTCTCCAACACACCCGTGTGCTAAAGTAATAACTAGTTTAGCACATTTTGTTTACTTGACGAATCTTACTGATTGGCTGTGTTGGGTGGTGCGCGGGGTTTAACGATTCACATTTATATTTACGCGATCTAACGCAAAAAAAACTTTGTTACGGACGATATTTAACACTTAGGCTTTCGCGACCAATATTATTCATAATAAAGGTTTTTGGGTTAGATCGCGTTTATTTATAAATGTGTCGTAACCCTCCACCACCCGACACGGCCAATCAGCAAAAAAAGTGTCACGTTGACAAAAGACAAATAATTCACTACTTTAGCCCACCGGTGTGTTGAAGAGTGAATCCACAACATTTACAGTTTGAGTACGACGTTTCGCTGGTAAATACATCCAGCATCATCGGGCAATTCGCCAGAATGGTAAAGCCCTCGCTTGCTCCCGGTTTTATATAGAGCAGCAGGGTGACGTCATCATTTAACTCATATCAGGTGCAGTGATTAGAGGTGGAGGGGGGGGTATTGTAATTATATAATCGACTAGTAATCAGTCATTGGTTATGATTAGTAATGAATTGTAGATTAGTAATTATTTAAATCAAAATGTAATGTGTATTATTTAATAATACGCTTCCAGGCCGCACTAAGCCGGTAGCTGTCAGAGCTATTAAAGTTATTCTTGTTCCTCTCAATTTCAATGGATTCTCTAATTAGTCTTTGCCAGTAATAATTAGTTTTTTTTGCTGATTGGCCGTGTCGGGTGGTGGAGGGTTACGACACATTTATAAATAAACGCGATCTAACCCAAAAACCTTGATTATGGACGGACGATATTGTTCAATCTCAGAGCTGAACTTTCATCCAAATTAAGTGAGGAACCGACGTTTAATGCAACGGGTTTTTTTTTTCTTTTACCCCTCTTGCGACAACTTATTTGTGATCACCACGCTCAGACTTTTGGAATCATTGCACGCAATCACCCGCATTAAATTTTGATTTAAAGCTTTCGTGACTGCAGTAATTCATATTCTCAGCTCTTTCGGTAAAGTCACGTTGAAGGGAAACAATAAAATATATAAAAATATATAAAAATATATAAAATATATAATATCACCCGCATTGTTAAATCCCAGTGCGCCTTGCCTGGGTTCGAACCGAGATTCCGAAACCCGAGCTTCCCGGCCGCTGCCGAATATCCATTTCGTGTGTCGTCGTTGTTACCTTACGTTGCAAAGTTACGAACGAGACTGCTTGGAGAAGTCAATGAGCAGTGGAAAGGGAGGGACGGGAGGGATGCACGGAAGTGGATGCGGAAATGAGGCCATGCGCTTTTGCTCACCCAACTCATTCCAGGTCGCGAACTCAATTAACCACACAATCGGCGCCCGCTGTTAACCTCGTTTTACCAGGGCGGTTACGCACTTAGCCCATCGCATTCACGTTTAATTGTGCGGGTCTGCAGCTGGGCCGGACTGGGTGGGCCCCCTCAACGCTGCCGAGAATACACAGCAAAGACAAAGATACCCCCCCCCTCCCCCTCCACCGTGTAGCCTCACCAGACTGTTGGGGCAAGTGCTGTTAGCGTAGCACCTATGAACGCCGGTAACGGTACACGAGGGGGGTGGGTGGCCAACACCACGCGCGGCCGCCTTTGTCTCCCCGGTGGCGATGTTGACTCATTCGTTTGAGGCACAGTCGACCTAGGGGAGGCCCAGGACCGACTCAGATAATCCGTCACTGGCGTTGACCGTGAGCGGGAATCGAACTTGGGTCGCCGGGTTCGTGGTGCAGCGTAGCGCTCATCGCAACCACCACCGCTCACCGTACACCACCACCGCCACCACCTACGACTTACTGAATTGTCACTCACTGCACGGTGACACCGTGATTCGATCTGAGAATGAATTCCTTCAAATCCATTCAGGGGCCGTCCATAAATGACGTCACGCACCTGGGGGGGGGGGGGGGGTGGGGTCAGACATTTGTGACGATGTGTGACGAGCGAGGAGGGGGAGGGGGTGAGAAATGTGACGTCACATCAAAATGCGCAACTTTAAATAAATATAGACAACACGTTCTACTTAATTAAATAGGCTTTTTAATAAATGTTTTCTCCTACAACATCAGAGTGCAGCGCCAGATTAAATACGCACTACAATGACAATAGTTTAAAGCGATTTGAAGTATTTATTTTTTTTGGGGGGGGTGGGGCAGAGCTTTGTGACGTCATATTTGATGGGGGGGGGTCTGACTTTTCATGACGCCGTGTGACGAAGGGGGGGGGGGTCAAAAATCGTCCAAAATCGCGTGACGTCATTCATGGACTGCCCCCTCATTCGTTGCGATCCCTTTCCGGTCACGTGATGATCCATAAAGCCGAGGGCACCTCTTTATCCCCCGCAGCAATCGCAGAGATAACTCCTGGGATGCACGCACGCACGTACGTTGAACTTCTTTCGCACCGTACGTAGCCAACCGTGCTAATTGGAGGTGCGGGTGTAAGGACAGCAAAACGATGTTTGAATCAATCTTCGTTTGAAGCTTTCGTGACTGCAGGAATCCATACTCTTTGGTTCTTTCTGGTAAAGTCATCACGTGGGTAGAAAAATGAAATGTACCGCGAGGTTTCGGGCACAGGGCAAGCGCCCCGTCGTCAGGCGGGACGCTTGCGCTGCGCCCGAAACGTCGAGATCCATTTCATTTTATTTTATACCTACCACGTGACTTTACCCAAAGCACCACAGGGCGCGCACGTGTCGTGTCAACGATTCGGAGACACGGTTTGTAGGAGGCGCCTTCTTTATTAAGCAACTCGCACGGTCTCGTCCCACACGCTCTCACACAGTAGCTCAGCCTGGCCTGTACTCAACACCGGCCGTCTGTACACTGACGGCGCCGGCTGAGATCGCCAACTCCTCTCCTTCGTAGCGCAGCGTCTAGCGGAGACGGCGGCGACGACGGACGACGTAGTCCCACTCCCAGAACCGGCAGCCCCTGAGCTCCACGGCGATGGACTACAAACTAACACGCGAAATTTTACGAAAGACAGAGTTGAAGAGAGGAGTCCTTCAGACGCCGGCGGATGTTGCTCGGTGCCAGGGGGGCAACTGAACCCAAGTTCAGTTGCCCCCCTGGGACACGAGGAGCTCGATGGGGGGGGGGGGGTGGGCGGGGAAGGCCGCTGGAGGAGGAGGAGATCGGAGGTTGCGAGGTCCCCGTTGATGTCTCTCTCTACGACGCGCCTCCAATTCCTTCGGTTCTCGTTCGATCCCCGTTCACCTGAAATTCGATGATCGCGGTTGGCCACGTACGGTGCGGCAGAGGCTCTCGACACACTTGCTTGCGTTCAACAACGACAACGTCGCATTTGCATGAGTCGGGGATCGGCAACCCCGTGCCTCCGGAGCCGCATTTGACCCTTTAAGCACTGCATCGCGACGTCAAACGCGTGCAATTGCGGCTCTTTAAATATTGATTTTTAAAAATGTATACATTCGCAAAAAAAAAATGCCTCTTGTTATTTTGCTTGCCGCTTCCTGGCACATGTCATGAATGATAGATACTCGCACACGCAGTTCGGCGTTTGCAGCGTGCGCATGAGAGTTAATGCTACCAAAAGCTCCCGATTTGGGTCGCGACAGTCCCGGTGGGTTCATGATTGCTGTGTCCCGAAGTCTCCGTCGAATTCGTGAACAAATCAGGTTTTTGTTACCGGTTGAGAATGTTCTGGCCTCATGCTCAACTACTTATACGGGCAAAGGGTGGGGCTGCCCCAGCAGTGGGCAGGGCTAGCCAAGTAGTGGGTGGGGCTATCTGATTAGTGGGTGTGGCTACCTGTTTCGTGGTTGGGTCTAGCTGAGTGGTGGGTGGAGCTAGCTGAAGAGTGGGTGAGGCTAGCTGAAGAGTGGGTGGGGCTATGTGAAAGTGGCCGTGGCTAACGAGCAAATGTATGGGCTGCCTGCTCACGACCACGTGTCCCAGTCGAGCCTCCCGCGAAATTTCGATGGCCTTCATAAGAATCCAGTGAAAATCGACGTACGTGCATATTCATCAACGGGAATGTATTATTATGGCTCACAAGCGTCGAGCTGTGTGTGGAGAAATTGATGCGTCCGGCGTCAAGCAGAGAGGAGATGGAATGGAGAAAAAGTCGACGCCAAGGTCATGTCTAAATCCACTAAATCAGCTGCCAGGGGACAGGGTATGGAAGGAACCCATCTACCAGGAGCGGCGAAGATTGGGTTGATTGTGAAAGCTGTTGGAGTGTGTTAATGTAATTGTTTTGCTCAATGCTATTGTGCTCATTATTTTTTAACAAGTCGTGGAAATGTTAACCGCATTCTTCGGATGATAAGGCACACTCTTTTTTCCTCCTATATCTCAAAGCATAAGTTGGGAATGCATCTTCTAATCTGGTATTTGTACGTATCTATGTGTGTTGAACTTCTTTCGCACCGTACGTAGCCAACCGTGCTAATCGGAGGTGCGGGAAAGGACAGATTTGCATAACTTTATTTACACGAAGACTGGGGTGTGTCTTATTTTCTAGAGTGTCTTATAATGCGGGGAATATGGTACGAAATATTAGGGATGAGTTTCGTATTAAAAATGTTTTATATATTTGATTATCAGATATTTAGGCCCAATTTTGGATATTATTTTAATTTTTTTTATATTTTAAGATTTTAAAATATCCCATTTTAATAGCCCCCATTGTTTTTGCTCGAAATATAATCATTTAATTTCAAATATTATTA